TGAAAAGTGTCTCAGGTTTGTTATTTGCGGGGAAAAGTAGGGACACTGTCAGTAACGAACGAGTGGAATCGAAGAGAACAAACGTTCTCTTTCTTCATGATCGGAGTTAAGGTGCGTGGATTATTGTAATTTGGTTCACGTAGGAGCAATTATCGCTAAGTAAACTGTTGAAGGGGCAATTGTTAACATCCTTGGAGAAATAGAGATCCTCGCTGCATTATATTCCTATTACGTTACAAGCAGGCGGCATTTATTGAGTTTGAAGTTATAATTGAAGATAAACAACACCCAGACTACTTATGTGTGACTCACAATAAGTAGTTTTTATGTAAAGAAACCACCTTACATGAGGAAAACACCATTTGTAAACATACTTTACACCCAGATTGGTTAAAGCATAAACTAACATAACGATCCAAGGAAAATGTTTGCGTAAACTGTCAAAACATGTTTCGTGTGTCAATTTGCATCCTACAGTTTCGGATGCTAGATAAACAACAATTTGCGTGATGTAATTACTGCAAATACTAAACTGGCATATTTAATAAAGGCGTTAACAGTTAACAACACTTTGAATAGTTATTAAGCTTCGATGTTTCCGTTTTATTTTCTCATAAATGTGTCTCGCGCTATGTACTACCGTCTAGGGAAATCACAACCGCCACACGTTCTATTATTCAGCAGAAATGGAGGTTGCCATCTACGACCTACGCCGATCCTAAGGCTGCCAGGTCCACGTGTAATTACGGACTTTTCTCGTCCATATAACATTTACTTCCGTACCAATTCATGCGAAAGCATTAATAAACAAAAAGATGAGCTCATTACCTTCATAATAACGCCTTCCCCTTAAACACCGAACTCCTATGTTCAACATAAAGTACACACGATTTGCACGAAACAACGATACACAAGCGGCCACACTCGAGAAACAACTTAATTTAATTTAATTTAATTTAACCTAATTAATTAATACGTCACTTCATTCTGTTTATAAACTTGCACAAAAATGAAAAAGTCCGTCGCAACTGTGGCGTTGTAAATATTGAAATACGTTAAATATTAACACCGTCCCGAGCTTCGCTCGCTGGTAACAGATCGTTACGACAGCTACGCTCCCTGTCTAAGTATACAGAATATTCATTATTTAAAGTTTATTTATGATTTGTGAAAGAATAACATTGATGGTGTTTTCTTTCTTGCCGCCTTTTACACGACATATAACGTAATTCTTTATTCTATTTTGGCCTTATTATAGCACGTTTGTTTTAGCTTGAAGAACAATGTTATCTTTCTCCAGCTCCTACATCCATTATCCTTGAATCCTTCTCCACATCCTCAGTTCGGCGTTTCCTCGGTTTTCCTCTCTTTCCCATTACATTCCATTATATTATCCCTTTGGTAATTTTCTCTTCGTGTGTTCTTTGGATGTGTTCCAACCAAATTAGGATCTTACTATTTATGAAATTTATTGTATTGGTTTTTTCGACGATAAACTTTCAATTGGATTCTTTGAGTTCTCTCGATAACGTCACTTTCACGTCATTGGCGCCTTTTACGGGAGCAGTTGCTCGGGCGCCAACTCCCTATCCGGATGTGCTTTACATTTCACAGCTAATACAATCAGTCTTATCTAAAAAAATTAATATCCCCGCCCACCCACCCCTTCGTCATTGTAGCAAGTAATTTAAATACTGTCACTTTCATTTCGGCAAAGAGAAGAATCCAAGGATTCTTTTGATACCTAAGTTGTACACAATTTATTACTTTCGAGATGTAAGATTTGAACATCTTGTTAACAAACAAATTTTGTAATCCAACCAAATTAGGACCTTGCTATTTATGTAATTTATTGTATTGTTTTTTTCGACGATGAACTTTTGATTATATTGTTTCACGTGATTGGCGCCTTTTACGGGGGCAGTTGCTCGGGCGCCAGCTCCCTCTCCGGATGTGGTTTTTATTCCACAGCTAATAAAATCAATCTTGTGTAAACAAACAGTAGCCCCGCCTACCCACCCCTTCGTCATTGTAACAAGTAATTTAAATACTGTCACTTTCATTTCGGCAAAGAGAAGAATCCAAGGAGTTGTTCTTTGATACCTAAGTTGTACACAATTTATTACTTTCGAGGTGTAAGATTTTAACATCTTGTTAACAAACAAATTTTGTAATCCAACCAAATTATGATCTTACTGTTTATGAAATTTATTATATTGTTTTTTTCGACGATGAACTTTCGATTAGATTCTTTGAGATCGCTTTCACGTGATTGGCGCCTTTTACGGGGGCAGTTGCTCGGGCGCCAGCTCCCTGTCCGGATGTGGTTTTCATTCCACAGCTAATAAAATCAGTCTTGTGTAAACAAGCAGTAGCCCCACCCACCCACCCCTTCGTCATTGTAGCAACTAATTTTAATACTGTCACTTTCATTTCGGCAAAGAGAAGAATCCAAGGAGTTGTTCTTTGATACCTAAGTTGTACACAATTTATTACTTTCGAGGTGTAAGATTTTAACATCTTGTTAACAAACAAATTTTGTAATCCAACCAAATTATGATCTTACTGTTTATGAAATTTATTATATTGTTTTTTTCGACGATGAACTTTCGATTAGATTCTTTGAGATCGCTTTCACGTGATTGGCGCCTTTTACGGGGGCAGTTGCTCGGGCGCCAGCTCCCTGTCCGGATGTGGTTTTCATTCCACAGCTAATAAAATCAGTCTTGTGTAAACAAGCAGAAGCCCCGCCCACCCACCCCTTCATCATTGTAGCAACTAATTTTACTTGTGTCACTTTTATAACGAAGCGAATTTTCGCGGGCCAGAAACCGGGATGTGGCCGAAGAGGGGGATTGCTTCTTGAAGCCTTCGAGAAAGAAGAGGTGTTTTGACTCGCCGCCCCCGAGCGAAAAACCGTACCGCCGTTACCGTTTTTTCTTCGTCCCTTTCCGGGTCGCCGTACCATCCTCGCCCAATTTCCCGTTTCAGGGTCGCCGCCTCCAGGTCCAGGAGGAGCCCATCCTTGTAGTTATTTAAGAATTAGTGGGATTATTATTTTAACCTTTTAACCGTGTAGCTGGTGGCAGGTAATAAACCCGATTTATTGTAAAACATTTCTTTCCATTTTATTTTACAATTATTCTCTTGTTTTCGCGGGCGGTCACCACCTGGATATCTGTATCTCCGGGTTGAGGGCAACCCCGGTACTTCCTCCCCAGGAGAGACCTGGCGCCCGAGCGGCTGCCGCTCCTGACCGAAAGTGCCATCCCCGGTGAAGGTGTCCGCATAGGCCTAGGTCGGCCAGACGTGTTCACATTTCAGCGGCACTAGTCGGCTCGAGGCTTGGTACCGAGGCACGCCGCACCCACGCGTTATCGGCGAAATTCCGTCCCAGCGGACTTTCGTCGCACTTTCATTTCCAAGAGAAGAATGCAAAGAGTTGTTCTGATTGATCCCTATGTTGTATACAATTTATTACTTTCGAAATGTAAGATTTTAAAATCTTGTTAACAAATTTTTGTAGTCTTAAGATTCTCCTATTTGTCGATATAAAATCTACCTTCTGCGACCAATAAGGAAGGGGTGGGTGGGCGAGGCTTCCAACTTTTTTTGTCTTAGATTTGATATTAGAATAAATTATGAATTTGTGTCGTGCTTGACATTTCTTTCGTATATTTTTCACAGAGAAATATTTAACTTTTCCGCCGAAGTTTCTTTATACGTTCAGTCACTCCATCTGTTCGGTAAACGGACTACAATCGGAACTGCGGTATTTAAGGAACTTGCAGCAAAATAATAACTGATGGAATATGTTGATACTGTCTTTCTTTCTAAACCTACCCTTATTATTTCTAAACTTTCTCCAGAATTTGTCTCAAAACTTAAACCCCGCTCGAAAAACCTGCTTCACGTACGTGCTTATCCTTTAAAACCTTTATTCAATAACTTTATTTCCCTATAGACAGATCATCAAAAGTTTGTTATTAGTCGATATGCCGTGAAAGCTAAGTTTAGTGACAAGTTGAGCAATATATGGCAATGAAACAAGTTTTATACCTAGTGTTACACCGGCTACTTTTAGATTTCGAGCTGGTTGCTGTAGCGTTGTCTTTAAAAATGAAAGCTATTATCTCATTTGATTAATGAACATTTTCCACTTGTTTCATTCATTCGGCAATATATTTTTAATCATTTTAAGAATCTCTCAAGCACGTGCCTTAGCCTTTTTACCTGATTACGTCGACAGCCGGAATAAATCCGTGGAGATTAGAAGACTAGACCGAGACTTGTAACTTCTCTTGGGTTTAGAGATATAATAGAAACGGTTAATTTGTAATTCAGTAATATTACGGTCAAATCAAATTACGTGTAGCGCTTGTTACGTTGTCCGAGGAAAATCGCTTAATTTGCAGTCCTAGAGTCACTTTGTACATTAACCTTTTATTCATAATAGTTACTAAGACAATTTCCTTTGAAAAAAAAAAAAACTGGTAAACAGTCCCGCAACAACGTACTTTACTTTACTATCATTTATTACGTATTCATTAATATCGTCAAAGCACTTGCTATGAAAGTGATAATAAAATTGACTCCGCTGTGTATAAAACATTTATTGCTTGTGAATCTTGCGCCAGACTTAAAACAAGCAATTCGTTAATAACGTCCCATCATAAAACGAGTTCAAAAACCTCCGCAGCACGACGTTTCTAAGAAATTAGGAAACCGTTTTCTAAAAACAGCGAGTGAACAGTGAGGAAAATTAGTTTTCTAAACAATTCATTTCACTCCGGCTGTGGGATTTAGATGTATTATTGAAACAACGATGTCGCAGTAGACAATAGACATCTGGCAAACCCACGCCTATAGACAGAAGGCTCTTTCATCCGATTGATCTTGGTCAATATTCTACCAATTCGAACAATCAATACGCGTTCTATCAACGCTAAGCACATACAAGAGGGTTGTAAACAGTAGTAGTGTCAAAAAGGTGCTCTTACCGGCTCTCACATTGACGTCCCTGCTGAGAATAGTCCCGGCTAAGTTGGAAGCTCTGCAACGGTAGACGGTCGAGTGGACGTCCTTTCGATAATCTTCAGCTCTAAAGGGTGGAAAGTACAAAGTCCCATTACCGAGTGATTGTCTGAAAATAAAATACAAAGTCTTAGTCGCGTTGTCTACGCTACAACCAAATCAAGCTCAACGGGGAATTACCGGCGTCCCATTAATGATTCACGAATCTGGTAAACATCGGTTACCGCGCTATGAAATGTTAGTATTAGCGCCTGACCCAACTAATTTACCTATATTATGCATCATAATTATTTACTGTTACTTAACATTATGTACTGCAGTCGGGAATCCAACCGACTGCGCCATTTTTGTTCACGACAAAAAAAAAATTATTCATGGTTGATCCGGACTGTCGCATACTTTATGAATGTTAAATTTCAAAAGAATCTTTCTCTCTGGGGTTGCGAAAAGATCAAATTTGCAGCGGCGATCGTTGTCGAAGATTTCGGTCGTATGTCAGTGGCGCCCTAATGTGTGGAGGTCTTTAATTTAGTAATCGAGCAACATAATCAAAGACACAATAGGCTAGGAACCAGGATAACGCCACTCTCGCGCCGATAAGCTCTAGCAGTGGTCGTTCGCAAAGTTATTTGAATAACGGAACGGAAAACGTTCTTTTCAGCCTAGACTGAGTTTACAGATCCGACGTTGATCTATGGATTCTTTTATTTAGGATTTATGCGATGCGGGAATCGATGCATTGTTACCACGTAATTGATGCCACTTTACGGCTACAAAACTCACGCCCCGTTGTTAGACTCGAGGGAGATAAAGGGTATATCATTATATTAATATTTAACCCAGTTTTCATTACTCATTCTTATTTGCATTAAGCCGGATATCTATTCGAGAAAATCATTACATGGAAGTTAATAATAGATCAACGCCGCTCAAGAGACGACGTAACATTGAAAGGCAGGTCGATTCAATAGAAATTCTTTTATTTCTTTAAACCTCGTCAATTGAATACCGCCAAAATACGATTTTTTACAGGAGGCCTGATGTGTTCGAATGTGTGAAACTTGGTGATTGGAACCATTACTTTTGTGGAGTAATTCGTTTTAGAAGACGGCAGCTCAATATATCAACAAAATTGCAAAAGAGGAAAAGGACAAAGAACTGCGCCGTATCTTCACTCATGCATTTGAGTTTTCAAGATCACTCACTTTTTAGCATCATCAAAACGTCGCCGGATACTGCAAAGGACGTCGCAAGATTATATCCCCAACTGACGATAGATTATTCTTCATTTTACATTGATCCGTCGCATCGAAAACACTTTTTATGGAAAAGTTTCAACTCTTGACGTTCTTTTACATTTCGGATTACTGTGTATTCAATTTACTTTTAGGAGCGTCAGAGCGGCAGAAGCTCACGACTGTATTAAATATGTACGACGACGTAGAACGAAATTATGCACGATTTTACTAAAATTTGTATAATTATTTCTTCATTTACTTATAACTCCGTATTCAAAGTGTCCATTATGAGCTTTTATTTCCACTGTCCAATTATACAATATTTACATTATAATGGGTTTTTCATTATTAACTTTATACTAAATATTTAAGAAGGATCCCTTGTCAGAATTGTGGCGTTTTTGAAGAACTCTGATATTTTATTTATCGTGAATCATGACATAATTACTCGATCTGTTTAATAATTCGTCTATTGTAAGATAATTATTTCCTTTAGTGGTTAACTTACACATATTGTTTTAACTGTAATAATAAAATTGAAACCTAGTTGTTTCCGCTGATGTTTGCAAAATCATTTAGATAAAGTTTATATTACACAAAAGGACTACTTTTCACCTGTCCAGTCCAAACCCTAAACAAACAGATCATAATTACTTTTGTATAATGCTCCTAACCGAGCAGTGAGTTCGTAGTTTTCACGAAAACAACAAACTTTCTGTGCTAATAATGAAATCAGTGTCAGAAAATGATATTTTTAAGAACGCACAAAGTGACTGTAAAATACTTAAAAATTGAGGCTAAAACTACAAGATGCGATTTTATTTCATACTTTGCGTCGTAAACAGGAAAAACATTTCAAAGTAATACCTATCGTAAACTAAGCAAGCATTGAAATACTTCAAATTTCTTTCTTTCGACATAAACAATCGAAGTTAAGCATGTACTCATAACATTTTATTTATACATATGTTATAAACTGAATATAATTATATATGTTATAATTGGAGTTTTCATTTGTTCTTGAAACAAAAGATCTTCTCTGAAACCAAAACAAGGCAGTAATTATTGTATAGAGTCTGACAAATTGATGCTGCATTAGCACAGACACGTCATTAATCATCCCCATGAATATTAAAAATAATTTTGCAAATAAACGCAAGAATTATTTCATGTTGCAGTGGCGCCATTCATATAAATCATAAATCCTTTTTGCAGTGATTACAATCCTACAATTCCATGTACTAAATGGCAATAAAAGCTCCAGCTTAAAAAAATCGATGTTTACCATAAATACCAATAATGATGTGTAATACCCAGATTAAAACCGGATCTGATAATTTTGCCTTGCATTCACGGTCATTTAAATACAATGATGATAAAGCAAAACGCAAAAATTCAAAAACCGACAGATGTTTTGTTCTCAGGCGTGTGGGTGTGTGTTTTATCGTTTCCGTTTTGAGTCCATATTTTTTCGATATCTGCTGACCCGACTAACAGTTTTTGATTTTTCCAATTGCTTTTGTTAAGTTGTGTTCCTGTTTATGAAAATTACTAAAAAGACTTCAAAGCACAAGTCAAATTGGTTCGAACGCAAACAAGAATGAGTGAATTTTTACATATCCATGAAGTTTCTGTCGCCAAGTTCCATAAACATATAGAAATATTGGAAGCTGGCGCAATCCAATTACATTCGACGTATGAGATAAACATGAAATTTTTTATCAAATCATGCAATTTGTGTGGGAAATCGCTGGAAAAAATCCCAAAAATGCATCCACGTATGTTTCAGTAACGCGAAGGGAAAATGAAATTGGAAAAGCGAATTATCCTAGGGAAACAAGGACTTGCTTTTTCGTTGTATATTTTACGTCCTTATCTATTTGAATGCATGATCGAGCAGAGTAGTGTCTGAAAGCGGCGTAATGTCAATCACACGTCCTATATACATACCTTCGTTTCCAGAGTAAACGGATAGTAGCGAATAGACGTTCTAGAATTATTTTATAATAGGCTAAATGGACAGACGGTGTTTCATTCTGAAACTTTAATGGGATGCATTTAACATTTTGAAGCAATATGTGAAACTATGACTGATGATTAATTAACAGAAGTTTTTGTTTCGGAATTTGTGGGGTAATTTATACCCTGCTGCGCCGTGTAGTAGGATGTCACGACACTCGCTTTAATAAACAGTTTTATTAAAGTAACACACTCAATGATTTTGGAAATAGTTGATAAGTTTCTGATTGATCATCTTTTAATCCGTTTAGATAAATTGAAGCACGTTCACCACAGCCATAAATTTGAGCTATGTGATGACAATATTGACCTTTACCAAACGCGACAAATTTATTTCCCCGTTGTTGGTAATGTCGGTGGCTTTTGTACTCCTATATTACGTTATTTTTACAACTTTTTGTAACCTTTCATTAGAAAAATCACAACCACTACGGTATCGTTAAAGTAAGTTTATTATTTTGTTTTGATCGATTGGCGCAGTATCGGTGGGATGTTTTTTTAAAAAAGTGCTTTAGGTTAGATTGTTATTAGCGAGTCGCTAGCTGAGGTGAATATCTGCCTGTTGTAATTTACTTATACATAAAGTTGTTTAACGTAACGGAAAAAGCGAAATAAAACTAGATTTAGCTGATCCGTTAGAAACATCAATCTTTGAATTCTCGATCTGTCTACTGGAGCTTATTCCGGTTTCCGGGTCGGTCCCATACATTTATAATAGACCTGCCAGAGTCCATTATTTATACGGCTCGTTGTGTCACATGTATCCAGTATCGATCATTACAAAGATAGAAACGAATTCAGCACAGAGTTGACATTTGCATTCGGGCAGGTCACGCAAATTCGCAGCGGCTGTTTCAAGTAATTGAAAGCTGGCTGCAACTCGTCCGACCCATACACTAATTAAGTTTTGCCCGTAACAAAATCCATTATACTTGTCAATCATAGTTATGACCGAACGGCCGAAGACTCAGATTCTTGAAAAGTTGAGCCCGCGATTTAATGATCCTTTAAATGGGAACGGAATGACGTCGAGTGTGAAAATTTTAAAGAATGTTAGTTGGATGCGGCTGGAATTTTTGTGTTTATTATGTCGTGTTTGCGGTAGTTCAGTTTTAATGACATTTTCTCCGTTGAATGGAGGCTTTTTTAACTCTTTAGAAAATGGAATAATGAATGAGTTCAGCGACGGGTGAAGTGCCAAAGATATGATGCGACGTGATACAAATCCCTTTTGGAAGATCCGAATAGAATATAGGATATGAAGAGTGACATGATAGCCGCCGAGAACCGAGAGCCTACCTTTATCCCTTTCCCTTTCGACACCAATTAACATAAGACCTTAATTCGCTAAGACGATGAGGCCTTCCAAGTTCGATACTCTAGCGGAGCTCGATTTACTTCCAGGCCTCCTGAGACGCCGTCTTCGCTCGATTCAACTCTCGCTGCCCTTCCACAGATCCACCTTCATCAATTACGCATTACCACAAAACATACTTCAAATTTTTGCCTCCAACTACATTGATTCTTAAATTTTAAAATGCAAATATTGCCAAACAAGCCGCTGCACACATCCACATTAAGAATTTATTTTTAAGGGTGCTTCTTCGCATTATTTATTCACGACGACTCTCGTCGATGTTTCGAACAATTGCATTCTACACGCTCAGTTCGCTCGACGGAATTTTTTAAAATGTTTCAAATATCCATACTCCCCGGCTTTGTAATCAAAATTTGATTACTGATATTTTACGACTAAACTGCCGCTCACTTTAGTATTGATACGCAACAACAAAACCGAATTACGTGAGACTATTTTTTCGCAATTCTTCCAAGCAGTACATATTAAATATACAACACAGACCTTTCGCTATTCACAGTACATGTCGTAAACCAAAGAAAGTAACCAAATGCCTCCGCAGCTCGAGCGCTGGTGAGAAAATTCTTTGAGGCGGACGAAAACTGACACCTGAAAGTAAAGGTGTTTCCTTTAAATTAAGTTCAAAAAACTGACATCCTAAAAATTCTAACCGCAGTACTACATTCAAGGCGACAATAACAATATTAGTATATTAATAATACAAAAAAGGCGAAATTAATAAAAAAAAAATTCGAATTGGGATACCTCAGGTTCCGTTCTAAGGTCCATTCTTTTTTAACATCCGCCAACGAAAGAAAGCGAAACGTAAATTAAATATCAGACATTTAAAAAACAAGGATTATATATATCAAACGCGTAAGCGGTAAAAGTTGACCGCTTACGTTTTTTTTTTATGGTAAATGTCGTATAAAAATAAATTATTGATCAAATGCCGAGCGTAGAAGTCAAATGTACGTAATAAATTCATATGGAGCTGCATTAGCTAATTTTCCGTCCATATTAATTATAACTTTTAAATTAGGGTGATGATCATTTCAAACGCGAGCTGTGTTAAAGTTAAACTCTAATTCTGTAATTGAAGTTTAGTCATATGTAAAAAGTGGGAATTCGTTGTCCTAATTGAAAACTTGAAACGAAACTCCGATATATATTTTTCGGTTAATAAACATCGTTTGTAAAAGTGGTGAGTTTCTTTATTGTTTGTTCTTCAACATTTACAATTTCATCATTCCCTTTATGGTTGAAATAAACTCAATTATTTTTGGGCGTGCACAAAGAAAATCCGTTCATATCTTTTAAACACATGTAAAATTAAAATTAAGTTAAGCTTATTTTATATAAATGTGGAAAGGGCAAGCGATTGAGGCAATTAACAAAATAATGAACTTTTAATTTACAGGCGCTTGATATCAAAGCCTTTATTTCCAAACAGTACTTTTGAAAAGCAAAACGTGATGATTTTATTAAATTTCTATTGTCTCTTTGAAGGTACAAAATTAGAGTATTGCAATCAAGAGAATTTTTTGTTTTGTTTTTAATTAACGTTTTTGACAGCATAGAGAAGTCTGGGAGAAATGTTTTAATTATTTGCCGATAAATGAAAAACAGAGAATGATGTACAACTTTTAAATTAAAACACGGGGCAGATTCCGCTGTCTATATTTGTTTTTAAACAAAAACTGATTCATTAAAAATTTCATCCGTGAATGTTACATTGTCGTTTCATAAATGATGTTACAATTCTGAAGTTTCAGATGGAATTTCTGTACCTAATCGTCTCCTTTTCGAAAAAAGAATCGAGTTGATATAATTATAAGTATATGATGGAGCTTCTGGCTCACGTGCCGGTTCTAGTATAGGTCAACTGAAGTCAAAATGAGCGAGAACCGGAATCCATCATCACATTATTACAAATTTAATATAAGTGAGTCTAGGTATTCAATCAAAATGTTCAATACAGATATATCTACCGTTTGAACGTTTTCTCGTTATTTCCGTACCTGTAGGTTTCAAGAATCTTCTACACGTGTGGCGTTTTTGAACGAATTCCTGGAAGCAACAGACGCCAGAAGGTGAAAACTAGTCACAATAGACTTTTTTCTGAAAAGGATACGATTGGCAATAGTTTCCACGTTCTGGCGACTGTAGCTTCAAGGGATTCCTTCAGAAACGTCACAAATATAACTTTTAACAATTTTTCTCCTTCTTGTTAACGATTTCTGCTAAGAAAACGTCAAATTTGAGCTAAAAATTGATTTTAAAATCGACTTGGTGTGAATTTTTTTTTTTTCAATCAAGATTCTATTCCTGGTGTTTTAATTTTGTTTTATGTCTCTACTATATAAGTTTGTGTCTATCACCATTCGCTGCTGTCGTAAATATCATAGATGAGAGGATTTATTTAGTAAGGTTGCAAATCCCGCCGGGTGTATAAAAGAAATGACATACCTAAGCCCAGGCACGGCGGTGACAGTTTGGCCATCCTGTAGCAACCACTCCACTTGGGGCGTCGGGGATCCGTGTGCTGAGCAGCTGACCTGCGAGCCGCTGGTATTGGAAAATGTGAGGTGAGCAGGAGGCTCGAGCAAGAAGACCGGTCCGTGGCTTTGGCTTGCCGCCCCTGAAACGTGATCGCAATACATCGTAAGCTATCTTTCATATACGTAGCACATCTTTCTGTTTCTACCTCCAAACAGCACGGCCTACGAAATTATCTTGTAGAGAAAAACGTAATCTTGATCACTGTCAGGTCGTGTACGTGACTCACGCGGCCGATTCTTCTGACGGTTTAAAATTTATTTACGGTGTGTTTATTTTTATTTATCGACCGGGGCCGGAGGTCCGGGATTTGACCAGACGTCTCAACCAACTCCCCATTTTTTATTTGATTTTCTCACTTATTATTCCACTAGTTCACGCCCAAGAGAATATAAACATGTGTTCCGTACGGGAGCCCTTCTTGCATGTAAAATATTTGTGTTTACACGTTTCGTAATACCCATCCTGAAAGCTATACGAGCCTGGAATATGATTTCTATTTCCGGAGGTTTTTCGCTAATTCCCTCATTATGCGTTTGTCTTTGTCTCCCGCAACCCTAACTGCGTGCTAAAACATGTTCCGAATTATTATTCGACAACGTCTCTCTAATAATGTCATAAGCAACAAAATTCTAGGCAAAAAAGGTTGCCGCGTTTACATATGCACGGCACGCGAACAACTCATCCTCGCGTTAAAATTTTTACAACGTAATTAACATCAATAACAATCATCGCGAATTTAATACTGCTGAGCCGACATAATTTGACGCGGCTAAGTGAGCAACACCTCCTGATTATCAATTACCGCCAAATTCGAAAAAACGAACGCAGAATAACAAGTAACTTGTGGACAACGCAATTTTGGTGAAGGTGGTGCGGCGTGCTCCAAGCGGTGGCTCAGTCAAGTGGGTATCACTCGCTTGGATCGCAAGTCATCTTTTGCGACATTTAATTGCGTTATTAAACTCAGCGTACGTTGTATTGAAAACGCACTTTTATGGAACGTGTTGGGAGCAAATATTAGTTAATTTGAGTTGGGGAAAACTAAATAAAACAGTGATGTTGAGTGTTATTTATTACGTTCTGAGGCGACAAGCTGTGGCGTGAGGTGAAGCAAACATCGAGACGTCGAGTGCGGAAGCCTTTCAAGCGTATTGAGCAAACCTCTTTGTATATCTAAAGCGTATGTCCGGTGCGAACAACAAACATGTAAAAGGAGGACGAATTCAGAGTCCCGTTGACTTTATATCGTCTCGTCCATCTAATTTAAGTTTTAAAGTGTTGACTCGATAAGTGCATAGTAGGTTAAACTGTAGAAGAACCCTAAGGAAAGATATCTGCTTGCGCAAGTCAATGAATGTGTAAGGTGAGGCCGCACGCTTCCGGCGGTTTATCACCTCCAGCGAATATCGGGAACTCTCTTCAAATGTATTGTAAGGAACAGGAAATCGATAACAGTTTTATCTCATTTACTACGTGATCTACTCAATGATGAAGTAAGGTCTACACTATACCTACTGTAGTCAGCTCAGCGTTTCAAAGACGTTCTAATTTTTACAAACGCTGAATCTCGCAACCCCTTCAACATTACTTTTCATTCCCTCACCTACACAAGGACAAAATTCACAAAAGGCTTTTATCAACAACCTTCACAAAAAACGAACGCCGGAAAAGGATTTTCGACGAAATGAAACGAAGTGATTTATAATTTTAACTTCCTCAATAAGGACATTCAAAACGTTCTTAAAATATATTTCGCCGATTACCAGAATGCATCGTGTTTAAGCACCACACCTATCACTACCCAAAAACGAAAACTTCTAATTTCAAATAATCATAAGAAGATTTAAGATCTAGGGTGCATCTTGGAATCGACTTGAATTGCCCCGATCTGTCACTATTAATCTAACGGCGCAAATTTAGTGCTAGAACTTTGACGATTTAATATTTGATCGGATACTGCCAGCGCTGTCACTCTAAACACACGAGTTATAATCCTATAAATAAACAGATAAACATATTCTTCGCCACTCTTTTCGTATATTCGTAAAATTTTATTAGTGTTATTTAGGCCAAAAATGCTCCCTAGTAAATATCCTCGACAATTTGCAACATACGATTTTGCCGCTTTAAAATTTAACTGTTCGTTTAAGATTCAATAGAGTGGAACGTGTACGGCCCCGTTCTGCGTTTGGCTACCGTCAAGCTTTTTATGTGACAAGTCGGGGGGGTATAACTGTACCCGGCCAGATTGCACACATTAGAAAAATGATAAAATGTACCGAAAGTTCGAGAGATGTTGGTATTCCTGTTTTGTCCCGCGAAGCATCATCTCCATTATGGCAAACTTTTTAACGAAGTTTTGTTGTTGAAATACTTTAAAGGAGGTGTCGATGATGATTATAGATAACGTAATTTATCACCCTGGGGAAAAATCCATTAAGTATCACAAATAAGTTGTCACAATTATTGAATAATGGTGGAATTTTGTGTCTAAAATTTCTAACTCGTGTAAAGGAACATTGTAGCGCGTTTCCACACAAAGTGATCAGGTTCAGCTATATCATTTACATTCAATTATCGGCTTTCAAAACCAAACGTAGGCGCTTATCTGACAACAGAGGAACAGGGTGCCTCGAGCCATCGCAAAGGTAATAATATGAAAGAGCTGATATGTTAGAGATCTGTTTCTTCAAACAACAATGTTTACTTGAAAGTGAAATTCTAATCTTAAATCGAATCATTGCAAGAAACAGAAATAATAAAGCAAATCTATCCTGTTTATTTATTCAATAATTTCAGAGAAAGCGACGCCCGAAGCTTCACCTGTTGGAAGTGCTTGAGAGTTTTTACAAAAGTTAAATTTACTCGTTTCGTGTTTATCTCGTTCCGGTATTTATTTATTCGGCGTAAATCTACTTATTCTCGCCTCCGACAATAACGACACATTTCTTGTTTTCATCAGATACAGGCAATCGCGACAACAATCAATATCTTCCAAGTAGCGGTAACAAAACTCATCAAGAACTGAACAGAGGCCTCTTTGAACTCGATACACGAATTAAAACAAGTAAACTTGTGGCACTTTTAACGTTAATTTTACTACTAAAGCTGCTAGTGCTTTAACTTATATTAAGTCTACGGTGTACTTATGGTGAGCGTACATGCAACCTCAAGGTACTTGTACGAATACAAGACCAACTACAAGCTACTAATAATCAGAAACAAGGAAACTCTCTAAACCAAAGTATAAACATGGAAACGTCTGCACTTTTTCTAAATCAAGTACGCAGAAAAACGAATTAAAAATATCCAGACGGAGACATTAAAACTTCATTTTCAAAGCTTCTGTTGTTTCAGAAAGTGCATTAAATTACATTGTTAATGAGCAAACCAAGTAAAAAATTACATGTAAGCTGATAGAGTAAATGGCGGCGACAAAAACGAGCAGCATTGTGCATTTTTATTTTCAGTGGTTGTGTTCTCAAGCGGATAAAGAGGAAATATCAAAATAACTGATCGCGTCAGCTGCGTGAAAACCACATTTGACGGGAACCGTCGCGCAAAACGCAGCCTGACATACAGGTTTTTGCATATTTTAATAAGGCCACTGACACTGGATTTAGCTAAGAGGAACGTGTTCCTACTCTTTAAATGAATATTTTTGGACAGTTTTGACGTCTCTGGAACAATGATTTAGTTTGCACACTAAAACTTTCAGTCGATTGAGAGTGTGTACGGTGCCGCAAGGGGAAGTGTTTACCCATTATTTCGACTACTGGTGTTGCCCATCAGTAGTGTCTTGGAGACTGGACTTTTCATTACTCCAACTTTCTGTCCATTATTACTGTCCAAATAACGCAGGCTGGACATCAATAGCCACCATATTGCGGCTTTTGTTGTCTGAGCAGTCGAATTTAATTACAGAAAATTACGGCTGAAGAAAGACGTTACAGAGAATGCGAAGAATGTATAGACATGAGGAACCAATAAAAAATCAGTAGGGAAGAGATGGGGGTGAACCATGTTGTTCGAAACGTGTATGGAGAAACACAATCGAGAGGAGGAAATATTTACTTCTATTCTTCTGGCGTTTCTTTGTTAAGTTCTCTGATTTAATGAACTTTTTCCTTTAGTGTTAGGCTAGCAGTTCAAAAATCTGTTTATTTTCTATTGGAGCGTTGCAAATAATTTTGAAGATCTTCACTTCGTCCAGGAATTTCAAACTTTCGTTTGTATTTAGAAAGAAAGTTACCAGCACCTTTTATTTCTGAATAAATTGGGTGGTTCGGGCAGAAAATTACGTGAGACGAATGTTGGAGTTGATTTAATCAAATATTAAAAACTATGTAACTTTGTGGACGATGTTATCAGTGTTAGAAAGAAAGGAATGTATTTAATTGTTTTTTTGGGTATGAAAAGAGTGTCTTAACCAAAGTAGGTGCAATTTAACAGGCAGTAAAACCAGAATGGAGAATATAATTGTCTTTAATTAGTGCAAATTTATTTGGTTCGCGACAAAGAGTTCTTTGGAGAGTGTTTCGCGAGGTTTTTCAGCGATTTGGTCTCTCCTGTAATTTAAGATAATAAGCTTTTAGGTGCGTATTTATTTATGTGTTTGAGTCAATTAGGAACGCATTCAAGTGAAAATTATTTGGTAAAAAATTTAATAAAGAGGAAGGAATTCGCTGCAGGGATGATTGAATTTTTTATATTCATTGGCTTTGTAAACGCGTAAATGGTGATAACTTGAGAGAATGAAAAATGTTGCGTAAGAGTATTAAAATAACAGCGAGAGTTATTTGTGTGTGTGTTTGATCACAGCTCAATCTCACTTCGGGCCTCCCCACTAAACTGATGCTAATCTCATTAACTTCTGGAGTTATATACAAACATTGACTTGGTGTTCTGCAATCACATTAAATTCAAAATTCCTCGGAACAAACATCTGTTTGGGAACTAAGTTACATTTAGAATCAATTTTAAAGTGATATTTACTCTAGGAAATGAAATTTGTACTAACGTCAATTGAAGTTCCTGGTTTATTTTAATTACCTCTTCGTTAAGTGTGTACCAATTTGG